CTGTCTCCCCACTCAGGCTCATGGGTCAGTTCAGTAACTGGGAGTCCTTTAGGGAGAGAAAAGGCTCTGAGCTGTTTCAAGTACAATCAGAGCTTAGAGTGCTCGGAAGCCCTTTCTCTGGCGCCCGGCCCCAGCGGTGGGCTTTGATGGTGGGTGCGGGTCACCGGGACCATGAGATGACTGTGGGTGGCTTGAGGGTGGCAGGCAAGGCAGCGCCTCCTTTTTCCCATCACTGGGCCAGCTCTGGGCCTCTCCGCCTCCCTCCCAGCAGGAAAGTGAGCGACAGCTGCAAAGTAACCCACAGCAGTAGACCTGCTGCCTCGGTTTCCCCGTCTGTTGAGCTACTCCCAGCTGGGTCCTCATTGGCTGGGTCCTCATTTCCTCCTTTTCACTGCCCCCGGAGAAAGCTGGGGAGCAGATGACAGTGGCTCGGGACCCCTTCCTTGGAGTTACTCAAAGGAAGTGGGGAGGGAAACTGGCAGTAAGGCCTAATCTCTCGAGTTAGTAGTGGCTCCATCATCATTAGAAAGAGGCCCCATTACCCAGTCCTTAGAAAGAGGGTGAGAGCCCCCGACAGTCTGAGAGGTGGTAGAGGCTGGGGGTGGGAGGGGATGTAGAGGTCAGTGTCCCCTAAAACCCCTAGGCCCTGACCACAGCCCTTCTGATTACCAGCGAGTGCTCCCTTATTCTCCTTACATTCGTGTAACCCCCAGGATCCCTTATCCCCACTGTGCGGACAGGAGCTGGCAACAAGGGCCCCCTCCCCACCCCCCCCAACAGGGCTGCACCAACAATCTCCGGGGCTCTGCCCAGACCCTCGGCTGCAGCTGGGTTGACCACGAGCCAGGGTCTCAGCCCAGGGCTGCAGGTGGAGGCCTCATGACTCCCTGCTGTGGAAATGGCTCCAGCCCAGGGGACTGTCTCTCCTGACGACAGACACTGGTGATACGAGGGACAGCGAGGTCACAGCTCTTTTGAGAAGAAAACAGGGGCCTGACTGCCAGCAGGCCCCTCCCACTAGCAGCAGGTGGGTGCCTGCCAGAGGCAGAGATCAAGGTGATGGGGGACTGGCCACCAGGTGAGCTGCCTGCCTGCACCCTCCCTCTGCCAGGTGCACAGTAGCCTCTGGCCCCTTTTCCTGCAGAGCAGCCGGGGCCCAGGCCTGGGACACAGCCAGAGAGGTTCCAGCATCTAAAAACCCCAAAACTGATTCAAAAGAATTCATTGCCACTTAGATGAACCACGAGATAGAAACCTCAAGTAGGTCTGTCTGTAGAAGCTACCTCTTGAAGCGACCTTCATTTGCATGAATGTGACCTTGGTTTTAAGACTTTGGGAGAGAATTCTGTCTCTACAACAGTATTGAAGTACATGCTGTTTTGGTCCACAAAGCAGCTCCTTTGTTTGATGTGAAGTCCCAGGTAAGACTCTTGTAAGGACAGAAGCTTCTAGGACTTCGAGCTAGAAGAGCTGGCCTGCTCCCAGGTCCCCACAGGTGAAAGGTATCCCACATGGACCAGGTGGGGTTGGGCAGAATGTGTATTTCCTGTGGCAAAGGCCTGGGGTCCGTGGTGTCGGGGTAAACAAAACCACTTCTCGTTCTGGAAGAGATGGGGCTTCTTGAGGCCACAGCGCCCGCTCTGCTGCTTACCTAGGGTGACCTGTGGGGCAGGGGCCTATTCAGGCAAGAGCGGGGTCTTACTTTAGAGAAGATCTGGCCGATGTGAGGAATGAAGGGCCCGTCAGTGAGAATGCCAAAAGATCTGACTTGACGCAGCTGCGTAATCCGCGTGTTATCGCCTGTAATATATAGACATCTGTAGACATCTGCCTTTCATTTAGTGAATTTCTATTTTTAATTCGATACTATTGTAAAGATATTAAAATTTCATTTTCCAATGGGTTTGTTTCTATGTGGATAATAATACTGTCTGGGAATAGACAGTTTTACTTTTCCTTTTATTTTTGTGCTTTTTTTATTTTCTTCCCTTATTGCTAAGGCAGGGTCCCAGGGCTGTGAGAACAGCTACCCTTGCTGTGTCCATGTCTTGGGGAACGTCTCCCCCGGGTCAATCCCTTGTCATTTGCTGGCTCTCACGCTGACATACACTAGGTGCCTGAAGGCCCCAGCGACACAGCAGAGGCCTGTGTGGCTGGGGTCCCATCTCGCGCTCCCCACTGCTGGCTGAGCTGGGGCCACCACCACCTGTACCTTGCAGGACACCCATCAGCTGTCTCCCTGCCCCCGCCCTCCGCATGCAGCAGGGCTCAGTGGGCTTTGACTGTTGCGGGCACTGGTCTGAACTGCTGAAGGGCACCTTGATGGACATAAGCTCATTCAGCGGGGCCCCTTCCCTCCACCTCCGGTGCACCTGGTCTGGAAGAGTCACCCCTCACCCCCTGAGCTCCAGCTCTCTCTGCCACTCAAGGGCTCCGTACCCCATTGCTCAGTTAGGGTTAGGGTTATGTGGAGACCCTGCAGCCTTGCCCTGCCGCCATGTCACTGCCCGGGTCTGGACACTGGCTCAGAACAGAGCGTGTCCTCCAGGCTGGGCCCCAGGTTGCGAGTCCCAGCCCAGTGGGAACACAGAGTCCAACTGTTGGATTCTTGGAAAAAGTCGCATCAGGGAGTTTAATGAGTGACCCCGCAGGGCTGTTTTCTACTCCTGATGTTTCAGAATACTTCAGAGGTCAGGGGTGTCGGGGGCCAAGGCTGGACGGGGCCCTGGCCAATGATAGCTGCAGCTGGGGAAGCAGGAGTGAGGAACACCCTCTGGAGCTGGCCTGGCTGGGCTCGCTTGGGCGGCAGCTCTGCTCCTGGAGGAGCGCGCGGGGCGGAGGAACGGACGTGTCTCAGGCTGGACCCCAGGCACTGCGGGACCTGGGCCAGCGCTCGCTGCACCCAGCTCTGCCTCATAGACTCATGCGGGGACAGAAAGCGGAAGAGGAAGGAGGCCAGATTGGGTGCCAGGGCCCCTCCTCTTGGCCCCCTGGGCCGCCTCCTCCCGTCCTCTGTCCTTGGAGAGTGGAGGGGGGCGGCTGCAGGCTGGGCCGCTGAGGCCTGTAGTCGGCAGATGCGGGGAGGGTCTTCCCCGCCAAGCGTGTGAGCTTGGACAGCGGCTCACCTCCTGAGGCCCTGCTCCTTCCTCTGTGGAATGGGCAGACCTTGCCCGCCTCTGGAGCTCCTGGGAGAAGTAAATAAACTCAGGCCGGCCAAGCGCTGTCAGTGAGTGAGAAGGTTACGAGCAGGAAGGGCCGGGGGAGGCCGGGGAGGACGAGCAGGACTGAGCAGGCTCGACACGGAGGCTGCTTGCCTGCTGCAGGTCTCACCTGGGCAGCAGCCCCAGGGCTGCTGCCCCTGAGTGCGGAGTCGCTGGCTCCATAAAAAATTAACAGGGCTCAGGGTTCAAGGTGTTCCAGTCCCTGGGCTGCACAAGGCGGGTGAGGGGTGTTCAGCCCTAGCAGGTGCCCCACAGGTGCGTCTGGGCAGATGGGGCGTGGAGGGCGTGAGGGTGGGCCTGGGGAACCCTGCCCCCACTCCTCCCCCAGCCTGAACCCCAGCATGGAGGCAACGAAGGTCCCAGGCAGGCAGGGCTGAACTGGCTGTGCCAGGGCGAGTTACAGCTCCCACCTGTTCCCATAGAGCCTGCAGGCTACGCGTGGCGTTTGCCTTTGTAGTGGTTGACAGAAAAAGAACACTTGACGACAGGGGAAGATCATGTGAGCGCAGGTGTCTGGGATGCCGTCTCGGGCCATGCCCACTGCCCATGCTTGGCGGGGGCCGCTCGTGCGCTGCCCACGGGAGGGCAGTGGCCGGACACACCGGGTCTTCCCAAAGCCTGACATCTTCACGCTCTCGGCCCTCACGACTGCGTCCCCGACTCAAAAGAAATCAGCTTTGAAAGTGAACTCTCCTCGGGGGAGGCCCTGGGGCTGGGAGGTGGGAGTCTGGTGGGCAGTCCCAGCCCATCTCTGGCCAGTCGCCTGCAGGCCCGTGACCTTTGAGCCTCCTTTTTCCACCTGTGAAATGGGCACAGTGGCTTCTCCCCCTTTGCCCCGAGTTGCCGGGAGGCTCCCTCCTCACTGCCACTCTGCAAGGGCAGCTGCCCAGACAGCGTTCTTCAGTGTCCCGGGAGACGGCGCGGTCGCCAGGGGCCCGGGGGAGCCAGGGAACCCCTCCGCTCCAAAGCTAGGGAAGAGCCCCTCCCGCCGCCGGCTCTGCCCTCCTCCTGGACGGCCGGCTGGCCCCCGCCTGCCCGAGGCTCAGCCCCTGCCCATGCTGGAGGCGCGCCAGTGCACACATGGATGTTCCCGGGTGTCCCTCTCCTGCTCACTCCGTCAAAGCCAAAGTCCCTGCGGTGACCCGAGGGCTCCACCTGGGCACCCCTCGTACTCTCCGATGGCGTCCGGGGCCCCCGGGAGCCCCCCGGGCAGGCACTGTCCCGTCCCAGTCCCTGGCCTGTGCTGCTCCGTCTGGCAGGAACACCCTCCTCGCAGCGGGCCGCCAGCTTTCTCCCCCCGCACCAGCCCTCACCCGCCCCACCACCCCAACTTGGTGCTTCTCCCCAGCACACCTCGCTCCGGGTGCACGCTTGACCCCTCAGCCCCGGCTGCCTGAGCCCTCTGCACAGAACGTGAGCTCGCCCCGCCCCCAGGGCTGAGGCCCACTGGCCGCCACGGACGGACGACTCGGGGCTCGGTGGATGAAGGGGAGCCCGCACATTCGGGACAGAGGCCCGGGGTGCCACGGTGTATCAGATTGCGCCTTCCGTGCTCCTTATGTCCCCCACAGCCCTGGGCGAGGAGGCCACCGCCAGGTTCCTGCTGTGGGGTGAGGGAACAGCCAGAGAGCAGAGAGGTGCCTGGGTTCCCCTGTCACAGGGGCTGCGGCCCCCCCGGCGGCCCCCCTCCTGGCCAAAGCCCTGTGAGCAAAGCAAAAGGACTGGATGAGGAAATCGAGTTGGGTAAAACAAATGTTTTTATAGTAGACACATGCACACACGGGTTCAGGAGAGGGTGCCCGCGTGGGCGGGTGCCCACTTCTGCCCCAGCACAGGGCAGGCGCTGCCCCGCCCCTTGGGCAGGGTAACTCCGGGGCAGCGGTCTGCGGACCTGCAGACTTCCCACAGCCCTGCCAAGACTTTGCGGCCTCAGGTCACAGCTTGGGACAGGGGCCTGCGCTCTCCTGCGGGTGGGGCGGGGTGGGGAGGGGAGGGTGGCGAAGGCAGCCGCTGTCTGTCGGCGCCCGAGTCCTGGGGTCAAGGCTGCGTGCCTGCGCACAGGGCGTGTTTACTGAAGGTCTCGATGACGCACGGGGCGCGGGAGAAGATGCCCTGGCTGGCCACGCTGCTGGCGTGGCCCGGGCACCCCGTCCCGTCCAGCCCGCTGGGCGGTGGGGGCTGGTCGGCTGCTCTCCGCGCCCCCTCCCAGCCCCGGCGGCCCACAGCTGCCGAGCCCCGCCCCTCAGTAGGGGTAGGGGGACACGGAGATGAGCAGGACGTAGACGCTCTGGTGGCGAGGCGCGGCGGCGCGCACGGTCAGCCGGTAGAGGCCCGCGCGGGTGAGCGCGCGCCGGGTGTAGACGGCGCCCAGGCCGGCGCGCAGGGGGCGCAGCGCGAAGGGGCTTTGCGGGTCGGGCTCCAGCACGCTGAGCTCCGTGCGGTTGGCGGGGACGCCGGCCTCGGAGAAGGCGGCCAGGCGGGCCACGTCGTGGTGGGCGCGCACGCCCAGGGGCAGCGGCAGCAGCTTGTACTGCAGCGTGGAGGGGCCGCGGGCGCCGCAGTCCTGGGAGCAGCGGCGGAAGCACGTCCTGCAGGGTCACACGCCCGCGGTCGGCACCCCCAGCAGGGAGGCTGCGGATCCCAGGCACGCTGCTCTCCCCTGCGCTGCTGAGCCCACTGCCCACGCGCCTGTCCGCAAGCCCACGGGGTGCCCACTTGAGAGTGGCGGCTGCGAGGCCTCGGAGGCCCCACGGAGTCGGTTCCCTCAGGGGAGCCCATGCCTGGCCCGGGGGAAGCCAGAGGGCTCAGGGCCGACAAAACTGGAAGGGAGCCCCAGGCCCGCTCTGGATTTGCAAGGGGTTGGGGTGTAAGGGGAACTTGCCCCCCACCCCAGGCTTCCCAGGCAAGCCCCACCCCCAGGGGCTGCCCTCATGCGCCCCCCCAGCAGGGCCCGCAGGGCCTCCCCGGGTCTCGGAGCCGCCCCTGCGTATCTGGCCTGGGCCCCGGGTCTGGTCTCTGTATTCGTGTCCAGGGTTTTATGCAAGTGCTGGATAAAACCACCCCCAGGTTCTCTGCCAAACCCTGCCTCTCCCGCCCAGGGCTCAGGGTGAGTGTCGGGAGCTCACATCCTCACTGGCTGCAGGACGCGCTGACCCTGTGGGCGCACGGCCTTGCGGCCCAGAGGCCGGCCCAGGGGTTCTGGCGGGTGACCACTCACCCAGGAGGACTCTGCTGAGTCACGGCCTTCCTGGACCAGGGGTCTGGCCACGCAGGAGCCAGAGTATCGGCTGCCAGGCCCCAGCAGGGAGCAGGCCACCCCCGCCCCCAGGCCTACCCGGCAGGGGCCCCTTACCCTGGGCTGGAACCCTGCCGGTAGGTGGCAGGACACGGGGTGTGCACACACTGGTAGCTGCCGCGGGTGTTGAAGCACATCTGGCCAGGCCCGCACTCGATGCCATCTTCCTGGCACTCATTGATGTCTGCAGGGCAAGGGGAAAGCCAAGGTTTGCTGGGGTTCAGTGCGCGGCAAATGCCTCCAAGCCCCAGCAAGGCGGGCAGCCCCTTCCCCATCCTCAGCCACCCTGACCCGCAAAACCCTGGCCAGGGGCCCCTGGCACCTCCCTGTCTCCCCCAGGCGGAGCGGCGGGACCCCAGGGGCCTCTTGGGCCCAGAGCTAGGCTGGAGAGCCTGGGAGAGAGGAGAGCTGCCCGGGGCCCCGAGGGCCCACTGCCCCTGGACCGAGCTCCTGCCCACTGCCCGCCCCCGCGGCAGCCACATCACCCCGAGGACATCCCCCGAGCCCTGTGAGGAGTGAGGGTGCGGGGGAGGCGGCTCATTTCCCACTTTGGGGGTGGGGGTGTGGCGCCCCGCACATGGGGCCTGAGCACAGAGCACGTGGGAGCAGCACACTCAGCCTGGGGGTGAAGTGACAGACACGACCGGCAGCAGCAGCTGCGAGCTGGCTCCTTGTCCACCCCCACCGGAGGCCCAGGGAGGGGACGCGAGTTGTCCAGAGACACGTGGAGCTGGATGGGCCTGCCGTGCCCTCTCTGGGCCCTGCTGCAGCGCTGCCAGCCTGTGGCGGCCGGGCGGGGGTGGCACTTAGCCCCTCCGAGCGCACGTCTGGGCTTGCCTGCCCTGGAGCGTCGAGGGGGGCTGGAGAGGGCGGAGGGTGCAGGATGCCCCTCCCGACCCCGCGGCCGCTCACCCTGGCAGTTCCTTCCGCTGGGGAGCAGGCGGTAGCCGGCGGGGCACAGACACCGGTAGCTGCCCTCGGTGTTCCGGCAGGCGTGCTGGCACAGGCTGTGCGCCCGGCACTCGTCCAGGTCTGGCCGGCGCGGGGCGGGGGGCGGCAGATACGCTGAGTCACAGGCGCCC